GATTTGACACCCTGGCCCAGTGGGAGCAGCTGAGGGACAAATAGGGCAGCTTCTGACCATGAGTGGCATGGGCCAGCTGTGCAGATGATACTCAGATTATGCAAAACTGGATGTGGCCAGACCAAGGAAGCCTTGCCTGGGATTGAGATCCCAGAGCAACATGTGGAAGGACAGCTGGGCATGGGGGTGGAAGACAGTTTCCCAAAGAGCCATCTAATATAATCAGGAGGAGGGGTGGGATGAAGCTGAAAACCCTCCAAACTGGAATCTCTCAGCCTCCAGCCCAAAAGTTTCTACCTAGACTCCATGACCACAGGCAGCAAAGTCCTGGCCCTCACTGTCTCCAGTGACCTTGGCACCTGAGTAAGCTCCATGTGTGGAGCTGGGCTAGGCCCTGGAATGTAACCCACTATCCCTGCACAGGACTGTCAAGCAGCATGGTGCCTGGCCTGGTGTGGACCGTCAGGACTACGTGTTCAACTGAAATTCTGCAGGGAATCAGTCCCTTAGGTCTCCGGCCAAACAAAAAGGCCGGAAAAGGCTCTGAGGGTGGTCTGCTGGTCAGCACTGAAAACTGGCTGCAAGTGGCCAAGGCTACCATCTCTGGCCCTACAGTGACTATGCAACCCTCAGATTTTCCATCATGGCCCCATTTTCAAATGTTCGGCACTGTTGTCAAACTATGCTGAACAACTGGTCCTGTTCGCCAACCTGGAAAACAGGCAGTGTGCCCAGGCCCCCACACCCACAAAGAAAAACATTTTTCAAAGGTCCATGATGGTCAGACTGAATTGTGTGTCGTCACTGTTGGGGCACTGGTTTGGGAAAACAGGGAGGATAGTACACAGGTAGGGGAAAGACACAGGAAGAGAAGTCTTCCCAGCGAGCATGCCTACCTTCACCTCTGGCCTTCCTCACACTCCATGTGGTTTGTCAAGACTTAAGCTTTTTTTTTTTCCCAAAGGGTAAACTGGGGCTAAAGAAAAAAATCCTATCGTAGAAGCTTCCCCACCTTACCTGGGGAATGCAGGGGGAATGCAGAGGGAATGGGGCTGGGGATGAGTAGAATGGGGGGCTGGGCTGGGCAGGGCAGGTTCCCAGAGTCCTGTCCGTCAGCAGGATGAGACCAACAGGGGAACTTTGCTCAGTCATTCCAGCTGTGATGAGACCACTTCCTCCCTCCAGAAAAGTACAAGAAGACTCAAAGGTTTGCACAGCAAGAAGGAAGAGGGGTAGCTGCAGCTACCAGCATCTACTGCCCTCACCCATCCTGGCTTGGTCCCAGCCACTAGGAGTGGCCAACACAAAGCAATCAGTGGCCAGCTCTAGTTTACCAACTGACCTGGTCATCTCTCCCATTGCTCAAAACATGCAGCTTCTCCAAAGCACTTCTTCCCCAATTACCATGTTCACACATCCTCCTCCCAAAAACAACCAATATCCCAAATAACATATATCCACACCCTTCCTCTTTCCTTGCTCCAAATATTTGGGTAACCCAGCTCTCTATGTCAGACTGTAAATGGCCTGAGGACAATCCTTTGTAACCACCTAAGATCTTAAAACACAACAAGGAAGGAAGGAGATAATAGGATGAGATTGTTGGCACTACTGGGCTATATTCAAGAACTGAGAGCTTTTCGCTGAAGAAGCCTCAAGTCTGTGGCATGCCCAGCTATCTAGACAGCAGGTGTTCCATGCTTGCTGCCTAGATCTGAAGCTGGCTTGCAATGGGCAGGGCCCTGGTCTCCTCTCAGGGATTCAGACGAAGGAGCTGCTTAGCCTGAACCATAACTGCAGCTGCTGACCTCACTGCAAGGCATGCCCTGGGAATGCCAGGGCTGCTGGCTCTGGGTGGAGGGAGGTTAGGCAAGTAGGACAGTAGTAGTGAGTGCCCACCAGTGAAGGAGGATGAAGCAGAAAATAACTACTACATTGGTATGACTAGGAGAGAAAGGGCAGGGGGTAGGAACAGCCCCACCCCCGGCTTAAGAGAACTGGGAAAAAGTTCTGGCATTAGTCTTTTTTTACTGCAACCTCTGCCTCCCGTGTTCAAGCGAGTCTCCTGTCTCAGCCTCCCAAGTAGTTGGGACTACAGGTGTGAGCCACCATGCCCAGCTAATTTTTGTATTTTTAGTAGAGACGGGGTTTCACCATGTTGACCAGGATGGTCTTGATCTCCTGACCTTGTGATCCGCCTGCCTCGGCCTCCCAAAGTGCTGGGATTATAGGCATGAGCTACCGCACCTGGCTGTATTAGTCCATTTTTAACAGCTTAAAAGCTTTCAAGGACTTTGGTAGATCCTGCCACCCTCCCTTCCCTCTGCCCCTCTCCATACACCTTCTTATCTTCCCAAACCTCTCTTTCCTCTCCAGTCCTTTCTGGGTGATATCCCAGTGCTCAGTAGGGAAGGAACGCCAGTTACTTAGGAATATGTCAGGTGAGCCTCAGACCTCCACAGTGTAATACTAGTGTTGAAGAGGGTAGCTTGGACCAGGCCAGGGGCCGTAAGCAGGAATTTGAATGGAGCCCAAAACCTAGAAGCAGCAAATTCCCAGAAGACCAGGAATGAAAGATGGGTAGAGTGCATATTTTGGTTTGGATGCCTAGGTTGATCAGAATTCTCCATCTCCTGACTGCGGCCACAATATTGACAGGTTGCTAAGAGTTCCTCGAGGGCTGGAGCCCATCCCAGGGAAAGAGGAAAGCTGCATGGCTTGGCCTTGCCAGACCCACGGAGGCTCATCGCTGACCTCTGTCTTGCTGTGGCAAGAAGCCCAGACTTGTTATATAAAAGATCTGGCCTGCAGCTGGAGCCTAAGCAAAAACACACAGCCTAGGGCCCATGCCTCTAAACCCAGCCAGGGAACATCTGAGGCCAACCCTGCTTTGAGTTGACAAAGAGAAAGCTATCTGAGGAGTGGGATGGTGACTTCCTAAAAGTTTGCTGAAAGCAGGAGATGACAGAGGCAGAAACAGGTGGGCTATACAGAAGCCTGCCATCTGACAAACAGGGATGGAATAATGGGCTTGCACACTCAAAGGAATCTCAAGTCCTGTTCCTCCAGGAAGCCCTCCTTGACTACAAACATATCTGGACTAAGCACTCCCATCAAAAGACAAAGTTGTGTGTGCTCCCAGGCCTGTGAGGAGGAAGCATAATTTATCCTACTTGCCTTTTCCAAAGGATAAAGGGAATGGCAGTGCTCAGGGCTCCCAGGAAGGAAGTCTATTCTCTCTCCTTCCTGGAGGGTATTCTCCTTTCACAGTCTATTTGTAGATCCAAAGAGGGCCATGATTTTAACTGCAGCAAATTCTTGTTGGTTCAAGGTGGGGTATTCCCATGAGAATTCCCCTTCTTTAAACTTCGCCAGATATTTGGCTCCGTCTCATCCCTTGGCTGTCTGTTCACCGGCCCTCATAGAACTGGAATCCAGACTCATAGAGGCCAAATCTTGTCCTCATTTCCTTATTCTTCATTCCAACATGCCAAGAACAGTACTGGGCATTCAAACATTCACTAACAACATTTGAAAATGGATCGCATTAACAAAATAAATAAAGGAAAGAAACTGACATGATGTGGTCAAAAGAAGTACCAAGCACTTTCACATGTCATTTGGCCATCATGCCACCTACACGGAGGCAGACCAGGCACTCTCCACCCAGTTTGCAAAGGAAGAGCTGAATTGCCCGATGTCCCCCAGGATGAAGGGCTGACTCAGACCCTCACGTCCTGGCCACCCTGTTTCTGCCTATCTCGAAATAACTCATTTGCTCTGAAGATGAACAAGAGTGTGTTTAAACTGCATGAAAAGGGAGATTTGACTCTTAACAACTTAGCTGCTAAGAATGAAGTCCTGAATCAGATTAAGAAATGTCTGTATAATTTCACATATGAGAGGGGTTCCTGCTCAGTCCGATGCTAGCTTATCCAAAAATTGATAAATGAACTGGATGATCTGCAGAGATTCTTTCCAAGCTTGGAATTCTTAATGAAAAGGCTGCCTTAATGAAAATACTGAAGGAGAGGAAGCTGGCTCCCCAGTCCTTGAATGGGTACACTGAAATCCCAGATGGGGCTGCTGGCAAGGAAGAATTCCCCATTATCTGAGAACTTCCCATTCCTATGGCTCCAACGGGATCTATTCTGGCTCAGTGTACTTTTTGGCCACTTCTTTGGGAAATACAGACTCAACAGAATGTTGGCCTTGGTTTAATTTTAGCAAGGTAAATCTCATTTATTTTATTTATTTATTTATTTTGAGACGGAGTCTCGCTCTGTTGCCCAGGCTGGAGTGCAATGGCGCGATCTCAGCTCACTGCAACCTCGCCCTCCAGGGTTCAAGCGATTCTCCTGCCTCAGCCTCCCGAGTAGCTGGGATTACAGGCGCCCACCACCACGCCCAGCTAATTTTTGTATTTTTAGTAGAGATGGGGTTTCGCCATGTTAGCCAGGCTAGTTTCGAGCTCTTGACCTCAGGTGATCCGCCTGCCTAGGCCTCCCAAAGTGCTGAGATTATAGGCGTGAGTCACTGCGCCCGGCCTAAATCTTAATTTTTTAAAAAGCTAGAATAAACTCTAAAGTCAGCTGTTGATTATACCAACACAAATACTCAAAGCTAAACTGAAAAACCCAGATTGACTTCTCTCTTCCACCAGGCAGGTGGAATGCAAACTCATTTCCGTGTATGTTTACAAAGAAAAACAGGGTGGTAAATTAGCAGGGTGTGGTGGCAGGCACCTGTAATCCCAGCCACTTGGGAGGATGAGGCACGAAAATCACTTGAACCCGGGAGGCAGAGGTTGCAGTGAGCCAAGATCGCACCACTGCACTCCAGCCTGGGTGACAAAAGGAGACTCTGTCTCAGGAAGATAAGACATTACATGGATAATATGTACAACCAAAACCCAAGACAAATTATCGCAATGATTTGAGGAAGACCAAAGGCCTCCTCAGCCAGCTCTCCCACCCCATCCTTATCCCTTATCCCATCAGGAGAGAGCTTCATTACCTGGGTGGCCTTGTCATTGGTGCAGCAGGTGAAGGCCCCATCAGCATCTCGTGGCCACTGGCCCAGAAGGTAGGAGCTGAGGATGGTGTCCAGGGAGAATGTACGCCGGACCTGAAGTGGCTGAGGCCTACACACTGACTTTTCTGGGGCCACCGAGCATGGGACGCTGGCTGCAAGAGAACACAGCCCGCACACCTTGCCATCAGCATGGAGGAAGGAGACGTGCCAATCACCTTCCTCCTCTAAGAGATGTGGCCTGCCTGCCCAGTCTTCACTCATACCCACCACTGTCCTAAAATAATTTGAAGCAGCCTGAAACAGCACATATGGTCTGACCAAGAGCTTTCCTGACCTACTCAGCCAGCCTTTATCATGGGAAACAATTTATACCATTTTACTTTGGACTTGGACATTACTTTATAAATGTCCTCTATCCTTTTCCTACCCCTAATGGACTATGAACCATGAACTCCTAGATCTCCACACTGAGTTTCCTGAGAGCAGCACTGTTTCCCATCATTAAAGATAAAACTCTAAGTGGATAAAAAACAAATTTTCTTCTGTCTTTTATCTCCTGCCCTTCTTCCTCCAGCACCTTTGCAGGGCTTAGGCACTGCACAAATTCATCCCCTTAACTGAAGGCCTCCTGTTCCTCTTCATACTTCCTTCAGGACTGGTTAGCTCCCTGGGGGACCCCGGTGGCTGACATATTGGAACTACTTTCAATTATCGAGGATTGAGGAATCTAGTTTACGGAAACATCCAGATTTTTTGGTTGTCTTCTCTGTCTTTGATTTCTATATAAATGGGACAAAAATAAAGCAATTATAAATCCATTCATAGGTGGTGGCTCACGCTTGTAATCCCAGCACTATGGGAGGCGGGCAGGTCACTTGAGGTCAGGAGTTTGAGACCAGCCTGGCTAACATGGTGAAACCCCATCTCTACCAAAAATACAAAAATTAGCCAGGCGTAGTGGCAGGTGCCCGTAATCCCAGCTACTCAGAAGGCTGAGGCACGAGAATTGGTTGAACCTGGGAGGTGGAAGCTGCAGTAAGCCAAGATTGCACCACTGCACTCCAGCCTGGGTAACAGAGGAAGGCTCTGTCTCAAAAAATAAATTAAATAAATAAATCCATTCATTTATTTTTACTTTGGTTAAAGCTTTCTAGAAGGAGGTAAAAGTTGAAACTGTGGATAAAATGTAAGCGTACTGGAATCATTTGGAAGTTGCAATCATCTAAGTTGACCCTGTTTTCCATGGCCACATTCAAAACACTCTACTATCTTAAGATCTATGGCTGGGCGCAGTGGCTGATGCCTGTAACCACAGCACTTTGGGAAGCCAAGGCAGGCGGATCACGAGGTCAGGAGATCGAGACCATCCTGGCTAACACGGTGAAACCCCGTCTCTACTAAAAATACAAAAAAATTAGCCAGGCATGGTAGCAGGCGCCTGTAGTCCCAGCTACTTGCGAGGCCGAGGCAGGAGAATGGCGTGAACCTGGGAGGCGGAGCTTGTAGTAAGCCGAGACCACGCCACCGCACTCCAGCCTGGGCAACAGAGGGAGATTCTGTCTCTCAAAAAAAAAAAAAAAAAATCTATAAAGGCTCTTTCTTTTAAACAGAACAAAATGCTTTCACATCTGTAGTAATCCCTTAATAATTCATGTGTATTTAGCACAGCAAAAAGAACTAGGAGGTATAAATAAACCTGAAGAACTTTATATTAAAAAGACACTAAAAGGTTGGCAGTTCCTCAAAAAGTGAAACATAGAATTACCATATGACCCAGCAATTCCACTCCTAGGTATATACCCACAAAGAACCAAAAGCAGGGACTTGAAGCATTTTTCACAATAGCCAAAAGGTGGGAGCAACCTAAGCATCCATGAACAAACAAATGCACCACATCCATACTGTGGAATACTATTCGGTCTTCAAAAGGAAGGCAATTCTGACACACACTACAATACAGATGATGCTGAGTTAAGTAAGCAAGACAAAAGGACAAATATTGTGTTTTTCTTGAGGTATCTAGAATAGGCAAATTCATAGGGACAAAAAAAAAATAGAATAGACTTTACCAAGGGCTTAAGAGGAGGAGGGGGAGTAGGAGTTATTGTTTAATGGATACACAGTCTCTGGGATGATGAAATTCAGGTTCTAGAAATGGACCCTGGTTATGGTTGCACAACATTGTAAATGTATGTAATGCCAGTGAACATAAGCTTTTATGGTTAAAATAGTAAGTATATATTTTACTACAGTTAAAAAAAAAAAAAAAAGAAACTAACATACCAATACGGTGAAACCTCGTCTCTACTAAAAATACAAAAATTAGCCGGGCGTGATGGTGTGCACGTGTAATCCCAGCTACTCGGGAGGCTGAGACAGGAGAATTGCTTGATCCCAGGAGGTGGAGGTTACAGTGAGCTGAGATCATGCCACTGCACTCCAGCCTGGGCAACAGAGCAAACCTCCATCTCAAGAAAAAATGAAAAAAAAAAAGGACACTAACAACACTACCTCCATTATCCAAATTCATTGAAGCATTTACATACATTTTGCCATAGTTGTAATCAGTAGGAAATGTGCTATATTATGTTCTGCCTGGTTCCACCTATTTCATATACCTTTTCCCATGTATTAACGATACATATTTGTTATTTTAAAAGACTATATAATATTCCTCCAGGTTGATGTACACTAGTTTGCTTAGCCATTCCCGTATTTTTGTCTTTTCTTTTTCCTTTGTCTTTTTTAAGTCAGGGTCTCGCTGTGTTGCCCAGGCTGGTCTTGAACTCCTGGGCTCAAGTGATTCTCCTGCCTTGGCCTCCCAAAGTGCTGGGATTACAGGCATGAGCCACCACACCCAACCCATTCCTGTATTTTTGAACATTTGAGGGATTCCTCTCCAATTTGGATATCAAAAATGTTACTATATGGCCAACTTTTACTGTGTGTTTTTATCTAATCCCTGGCATAGTTCTACATCATCTCACTCAGCCATCATATATGTGCTTATTTAAAACAAGTGAATAATTTATAACTACAACAGTAAGTGTGAACTGTAGAAAAGTCAGGAAATATATAAATATAAACAAACAGAAAAAAAAAACCCTCAACTCTCAACACCCAGAGATAACCAATGCTATGAGAAATATAAACTTACAGGTCTTACCTCTTCTGTGTGTGTGGGTGTGTGTGTATATATGCTTTACAATTTAAAATGAGATCATACTCTACATATTGTTTTGGTATATGTTTTTACCTTATAAACATCTTTCCAAATCAATATATATTAATGTAAAACACATCATTTTAAATGATCTTAACATTCCTAGATTAAACCTCTTCAAAGGCTCTCTTTCAAAGATGGAGGTAAAGCCTTCATGTGGTCCCACTTACCTGTCCTTTACACCTCACTCTTCCTCAAAGTCACTAAATCTCAGACAAACTATACTGCACACCATTTCCCACCCATGTCCCAAGCCTTCCCTCCTCTGAGGTTTTGCATGGGCCCAGGGTTAAAATCTGTTCGTCTGTCAGGACCAGCCTTACTGCCTCCACTCCACCAAGCCTTCTGCATCCACTGGAATCCCCTGGAAGCAATGTCTTGGAATTTTCTGTTTCCTCAGTACTTTGTACTCTTCTAGTAATGAGCACCTTCTCTTGAGGAATAGGGTATTTGTAACTCAAACAGCCTGAGGCCAAGGGCTGGCTCTATGTATCCCCCACAATGTCTAAAGCATAGGGCTGGCAATTGGCAGGCACCTAAGTATTTGAATAAAATTGAAAAACCTTCACAAGAAGGGTCAACTGGCTCTACTTTTACCAGGGGTTCTGACTTTGCATGCGTGCTCAACACACCCACTTGGGTTAAAGATCCCATAGCTGCTTGTCTTTTTTTCTCTCTCTGAGGCTCAGGAAGGCCCAACATTTCTTACCCTTCCTCCAACCTTGTTGCCTAGTAAGTTGGTGACAGGTACACTGGGTTAAACGTGCAACTTTATCTCTACACCAGCATTTCAACCACTCATTTTCCTAACCTGGGTTTAAAATCAAAAGGTAGCAATCTGGATATTTCTGGGAGCTTCTGACCCACATCAGCAGCCAGCTCAGGCCAAAATGCTGTCCTCCAAAACTGTCTGTTAGAGTCCAGTGATGAGGCAGGGACTCTGGAAAGCGGATTTACAAAATTACATGACAGATAACCCAAGAGGCAGATGGGCCACGGATGAGCAAGTGATTGGCATAAGGGGTAGGATCTCATCATCCTAAAGGCTGCTTCATCACTGTTTCAAAGGAAAAGGAGTAGGACTCCAGGGCTGAGGGATAAGTGACAGGAGAAAGGTTTCCTGGAGCTACTTCTCCCATCCCCTCATCTGAAGTCAATGCAAAAATCTCTTTTAGATTCTTTCCTTACTGAGACCCTAAAGCTATCTCATGTTTATGTTGTGCTTTCGAGTTTTGTCCCATCCCCACAAAGTACTTTAGTGTGCTGTAATCTTTTACTCTCCTGTCAGCTGTAAAAGGGGATAGGGAAAGACTGTTAAGGAAGACTAAGGCACAAAGAAGCTTAGTCTCTGATTAGTCTCCTTCACTCTGTAAGTGTGCAGCAGTCCCACATCTAAATCCAAGCCTCCTTCCTCCTAAATCAGTCTTCCAACCACTCACCGAGGCTCACATCCCTCTTCTATCAGGGACACCCTCTGAGGCTGCTGGGACACCTGCCTAGACACCTAGGATGAATAGATTTTTTATTAATAGCTTCTTTTTAGCACCTAATGGAGGAGATGGCAGGCCCAATCCTATTGTTTCCAATGACCTACTTTTTGTTTTGCTTTTGTTTGTTTCTTGAGGAAGTCTTTGAAACTTGAAGTAAAGGACTCTATTATCTCTTAGGGATAACTTTAACCCATTTTATATTCGTTTCCATCACTCTTCATATCCTACCCTATTCAATGAGTCTAATCTCTAGGACAATAGTCATAGGTGGTACTTTGCTCCCAATACTCACAGGGCTGGGGAGCACCCAAAATCCTGGAATGTGATGTGAGAATCCAACCAACGCATTTTGGTAAACTCTACATTCTTTCCGGCTCCCTCTGACCAGTTATCCATTAAGACTCTGGACTTGGTGGGTCCCGACTTGTTCCTCCATGTACAAAAAAAGTCACACAAATAGCAGAAAAGAAATACAAAGGGAAAAAAAGGAGGGAGTGAAAAGGATTGAGGAGAAACCAAGGAAACCCCAATCCAGAATCTGCAGCCCCTGACTTGCTCTCCCCTGGCAGACATGCAAGGATCTCACTACATCTAAATCAAACAAGAGTACTTGCCTCAGTTTCTTTTCCTTAAATGAAGAGACAGCTGGGTCTCAGCCTTATTTCCACAGAGGCCACATCCTGGCGCAGGGTGCTGGCACAGCACCTTGCTGGCCACGAGATGACAGAATTACCTTCTGTCTCAGAGTCCTTAGCAAGGCTCCACTACCCTCCTAAATCTCCAAATTCTTGGCATGTCCCAGCTCTTTTGAGGAGACTAAAAT